AATCGTAGATATTGCCTCAGAAATTCTGCTTCATTTCTTTAACAAAAGGAGTTGTACTAATAGTACTATAATTTAAGAACTCAACTTCAATGGTTGGCAAATCATCACTTAGGACTCCGCGGTAAACTTTATTGTCCCCTTCATTTGGAAGTTCATGGTACATCTTGTCATATAATTCTAGACCAGTTTTAACGTAAGGTTAAATATTGTGATGTTATGTTTGGAGGAGCGAACCCTTGAAATTCTTACCTTGATTAGCTCTGACACGACCTTTATATATCCACCAATTTGAGTAGAAGGCATAATTAAATGGGACGCTCCACATAAAGGCCAAGGATTCATTACGATCTTTGAGATGGTACAAGCAACTTTTCTGTTAACATCGCCTAGTTCCTGTATGAAAAAAAACAAAAAAAAGTTAACTAAAAAAGCCAATTCAATAATTTTTAATAATTGATGAATAATAATTATACTTTTAAGAGATTTTTTATCAAGGAAGGAGTAATTTCTGAAACGTCGTAAATGCCTGCTATCAGGTTGAAATTTAACAGTAAAAGTGATGAGAAAAAAAAATTTTAAACGTTTTTAAATATTCCGGTCGTATGAGTTCATAATGACGATTGATTTATTACGATTACTCATACTTGATTCAGAATAGTTGAATAGAATTAGTTAATATTTCAAAGAAAAGGTATAAAGAAAATTTGAGATTTACTATGTATTCGTGACTCGACTTTTAATATGGAGAATCAATTTTTTAGCTTTATCGCATAACCAAGAATTTACCGAGTTTATTTATGCACTTTTTCTCTCTTCTTCTTTTTATCGTACAAATCGTAAATTTTCCTTTGCGTGATGAAATTCTTGATTTCACATTCTTGCTTATTTATGTTTGCGTGATTATAATTGTTTATATTCGTCATATCCTTGATCAATATCTGATCTCTCGTCTGGTTTTTGCTTCCAAAATTCAAATTAAATGATTAGATTTTAATAGTTTGTAATAAAAAATAAACCTAATAATTATAATTATGCTTACGATAAAGCTTAACAAATTTAGCATTTGTGGTTGAAATTGGCTTTTCTCTTACGCCTATAAGAATTTCAATCCGAATAGAAGTATCGTATGTTGTTTCATAATAATTGAAGGGAGATGAATTCCCAGAATAATAACCCTAAACTATAAATATCAGATTTTTTGTTAAAATCAAATAAAGAATTTTCAAAGATCCATAAAAGGTATTACACCACCTCTTACATAATTGACGTTCCCATTTAAAAGTTACGGCGTTGCTACTTGAATATTCCGCCATCAAGAATAAGCGCATAACTTACTTCATGTAATAAAAAAGGTGTGAACAAATAAAATTACTAAGCAATAATTATTTTACCTTCTAAATTCGTTTATAAGCAAAATATGTTTCTTTTAAATTAAGATTTGACATTAACTCAAAATCTTTCTTATTTGCATAACAAAATATATATACAAAACTTTATAAAATTCATTTCTTTCATAGAACTTTCAATTGCAAGTTTTTGGTACTTTTCAATATACAGCATAAATCGAAAAAGTTCTTCCTGAACCAATTGTGAAAAAACTTAAAACCTTGAGATATATGATAACTGTTACTATTAGAGATTTGTTTGACAATCATTTTAACTTCGGGCTTTGCGAGCCATTTTTCTAATAAAATTCTAATAAAATAACCGAAATCTTTAAAATTTAATAAC